TTTTAATTTAACTGTATTCAGAACTTTTTTGCATTAGGCTGCTGGATCCTGGAAACTAAATGTTGGTGGGATTATTACCACTGTTGTTCTACAACAACACTGGTCCGGGTTAACTAGAACTGGAAATCTATGATGTATTTTGGCAATTATAGCCATCACTTAAGAGGTGTAAAGGAAGCACTGAATGGATTTTTAATTTATTTTAATGCACATTTAGCAAGTAGCAACCAGGAAGCTAGCCAGCACTGCCTGACTAGCCTGCTTTCTATACCAGATCTGATCTCAAGAACTGATATGATCAAGAGAATACAATGGCTCCAAATGTGTTCAAGGCAGGCCAGGTAAAATTAATACCTTTTTATTTTACTGTGGTAGCACCTAGGAGCTCTAGTCGTGGTTCAGGGGCCCATTGGGCAACGCACTGTATAAACAAAGAGTCAAAAACAACCCTTGCCCCCAAACAGCTTACAGGCCAAATTTAAATATTCCTTACTTATCACACGAAGCAGTAAGGAGGACGAACATGGGCAAAGGAAACTGAGACAACTGTTAGTCATTGCTTTTACTGCTGAAGCCGGTTCACAGCCTCATCATGCAGCAGTGAAGTCAGTGCGTAAGGATTTCCCTTTAGACTTTGGTAAGAGTGGATTATGTCCTTTTACCACCATAATAGCTAGTGAGAGGAGGCTAGAAGACGGGAAGCATCCATAAATATCCTTACTCTTATCTTTACTCGCTTATAAAGCATTTTTTTTTGTAAAAGGCCATGTCAATTTGTGACAAGATGCATTTCCAATTCCAAAATTGTTCACTATCAAAGTAAAGCCAGATGAGCCATAGGACACCACTTTGGGTAGAGAAATATTTGGAGAGATTACTAGAGAGGTAATCAATGCAGATAGGAGTCACTTAAGATGAGAGTTTTCTGCGGGTCTTTGAAGGTGCAAGAGAGAGGGAATTTAGTAGACAAGAGACATTTCCATATCCAGAAACAGCACAGCAGGAAGCTGAGAAAGATAGGAGATAAAGGCAGCCCAAAGAAAAGATTTTGTCAGGTAAAGAGAGGAAGTAATAGCAGAGACACTGACCGCGTGAGATTGATTCAAGGCCTTGAAGGTGCTGTCAGGAAGTGAGTCAAGGGAATCGAAGACCAGGTCAGCATGGTCAGATGATGCATGAAGATGACATCAGTGGTGGCACATTGGAGAGACTGCTGAGAAGGAGCAGAGGAGAAAAGTACAGTAACCCACACGAAGGAAGACCCAGGGTTTGGAGGTTTTAGCGTCATCATCAGAGTTTGGTCCCCACGTATATTTTAGTTTGTTAATAAAATGTACACACCCCAGAGATTTAAACAGAACAACCAACCCTAAATCCAAAACTGCATGGCTGCCAATGTGCAGACTAACAAAGGAACCAGGTATACATAGCTGGAGTTACTTTGAGATAACGTATGCGGCTGGAGTTGATTTAAAGAATATTTTTGGAGTCAAATGAGGCCATGGCATTTATTTCCAAAGAAATTGCTACATGACTTTGTTTCAACATTCTGCCCCACAGCTGCCAGCATTGCATCCACAATCATGTGCTAATAGAAATTTGAAATACAGTAACTCAGTTTCACATGTATGCTTGTAGAAATATGGGTTCAGAACTAACGTGGGCATTTCGACACTTGCATCCGTTTTGGGGTGAATTGCTGCTCACTTCCACAGAAAGAGCCTGGCATTTGGGCCAAGGTACTCTGAAGATGATTTGAAAAGTTCAAAGTGATGAATCTCGGAGTTCAATGGGTAGCCCTTGATTCGTGTCTTACGTACACCAAAAATATCCCAAAATACTTGGATCGCTTGCATGCCTCCACACTGAAGTTGCACATTATGTTCTTTCTGTACTTGTAATTACAGAGCAAGACGTTGTGATGGGCAGCAGAGTGTATAATACATCTTCATTCTCTCGAGGAGCCTTAATGCTCTGCTGCAGGCTTGCCAACTATATTTTGCATCCTACTCCAAGGTGGGTGGATTCTTCTCCACAATCTCCCTACCCCTGTGCATGGGCCAGTCTAAAGATTTTTTTTTTTTTACTTTACTACACTTAGAACAGGGGTGGGCAATTATTTGGGTTGGAGGGTCACTTAGGGAGGTTTGGTGAGCTGTTGTAAGCTAGGTCAGCAAACCCCCTACACCCCTGCAACACCTTGCCATAATGTCCTAAGTGGTTCGGGGGTGCTGGATGTAGTGGATGGGCTGGGCCCCCATGTAGACTGGCTGAGACCCCTGTGGGCAGGGCATGCTGAGCCAGGCACATAGGATGGGGCTGCAGGTGGGTGTGGAGCAGTATCCAGAAGCGGGATGCGTGGCTGGGACTGGGGCCAGGATCATGGGTTGGTGACATTGTGGGGCCAGCGCCCAGGGCAGACCTGCAATCCACTCCCCACACAGCCCCACACTGACCACCCTGCGATCCTGGCTCTGGCCCCACCTGCCCACCCACTCCATCTGATGCTCCTGATGGTTGGTGTGGGGCAGATGGGCCAGGGTGCCTGGGCAGCGCGGCGCGATCTGGCAGCAGCAGTGACACTAGCAGTGGGAGCCTGAAGGTGCCACCGCCACCAGGGCTATCGGGAAGCAGAGTTTGGCCACTGCACTGCCCCAGTCCCACTGCACACCTGGAGATGGCGGGACCAGCCACACATCCTTCTAGGCCAGATGATGCCAGATAAAATCCCTTGGCGGGTTGGCTCCAGCCTGCAGGCTGTATTTTGCCCACCCCTGACTTAGAATATCTTCTCTTCAGTTTAGTAGATTCATCTATGGAAGGCTTGTTAAGTCCTTCCCAATCTCTTGCTGCAGAAGTGAAGCTCAAATAATTGTTCTCTTCACATTAACTGCATTGGTTCACATTTTAACAGCTGTTGTCACAGGGGGGAAAAAAAGTCTTAAAGAAGTTGTTAAAAAAAAAGATGAACCTTGAATTCTCCTTGCTGTTAATTATCTATCATCAGGAAGCAGAAAGGCCCAATGTGGTAGGCTTTGCAACATATCCTTTTCTGCCTACTGTAATTTTTTTTTTTTACTCCCCAGTATAATATAAATATAATGGGAGTAAGAAACATAAGGGGTGAACGCTTACCCACAGGAAAGTTATGGGACTCTGAAGTTGTGTGTCAAGGTCTTGTGGTCTTGTTTTTAAAATCTCCTCCAAATTTATAGACGAGATTCCAATTCAAAATTCCAATTTAAACATTGGAACTTACTTTTTCATTTGGTATTTTACTTTTTGTTACTTTTACTTTGGTATTTACTTTTTGTTATTTATATCTTGCATTATTGCAGAATGCACCAGGCGCAATGCATGTTATTAAATAGATTATTAGAATTAGTTAACACCCAAGTATGACACGCTAATACTAGTTGTGGAGCATATTATCTGCTACTAATGACAGATATGTCATCAAAATTGTATTTATTGTTAAAATAATCTATATTTAGTTATTAACTCATTGAGGACACCAGTTACTTCCACTGACTGAGAGACACTTTATCTTCTCTTGAGCTAATTGTCTCCTGCTTGTGCCATAATAAACCAGGTAACACCCACACTTCATCAGTGTCAGACTGTTTCATCACAACCGAAGCAGGAAACATTGTTTGTGGGAGACGGCATCTTTGGGAAGGCCTGGCTTCCCAGCCTCCTCTTCTCGGGCTTGCCTTTGCTGTGCCGCTAGTTGATGGTAAAACTGTCCAGGGCTGGATCTGGGTGGGGGGAACGCTGCAGCGGATGCAATGTTGCAGGGGCGGTCAGGAGGTGCCCGAGCAATGTTGCAGAGAGTGCATTGCCCCCTGTACTTTGCTTCCTGCTCCACCCATAATTAAAACCAACTTTCTGGGAGGGGACAGCAAGTGGAGTCAAGCCTGCTGAGGGCAGTCAGTTATGGCTTAGTCTTATCCACTTGATCCCTTCTAAAGGCTTCATTCTGGGTGGGGGGGGGTTAATACCCCTTTCTTCTTTTTAATGGCCTGGATGCTCCACCAAGCCATCCAGCCTCTGTGCGGCCTGGTCAGGGGCCGATTTCACAGCCCCGCAGACCCATTTCAAGGACGCTACCTTTGGTTTTGCTGCGCTGCAATCGCGAGCCCCTGCCGGGTGGCTCAACTTCTAGTTTCTTTGGAGAGCAAGCGGAGTGCTGTTTCATACGCCCCTCGCCACCCGCGCCCCCTTCCTCGCCACCCATGACGCTGGCTCTACGCTCTCCCATGCCTCCCTCACTCCAGTTGGGTCCCGCGCGGTCAGGGGGTGCTGGATGCGATGGGGGGGGACACTTGCCCCCCTTCTGATGCCTGTCTAGTCCCGGGGGGGGGCGTGGACTTGCGGGCTTGTTGCCACCCCCGCCCCCCCCGGGGTGCGAGCCCTGGGGCGGGCTGCTCGGCGGCTGGAGGCGGGCATCCCCCGTCCCGTCGGGGCAGCGCCCGCCTCCCCGCCGCGGGGCCGCTCCGGAGCGACTCCGGATTGGGCTGCAGGTAGCAGCCTGCCCCGCGAGCCCCTCGGGCACGTCACTTCCTCGCAAACTTTCCCGAGGAAATGTCTCTGCACCAGTCGCTCCGTCTCCGAGCCGCGGGCTGCACCGCCTCCCCCTGAGCATCCCCGCGCCCCGCGCCATGGCCCGGCCGGCGGGCGCGG